TATGCAAACTATGTGTAAAAAAATTGCACAAAAGTTTCCTGATGTGCATAATGAAATCATTAAAATATATGTTAAGACACGAACATTTATACGCTTGAGGTATTTGAATACAGAAATGAAAAAGAAGAAAAGAAATAAGGCTGATATGAAAAAGGCACAGAAGTGGATTGCATCATCTTTATAACTCCTCCTCATATTACATCCTACTCATATATGAAGATACTTTTCAATAGCAGCCAGGACAGCGATTGATGATGATGAAGAAGTTCAAAATGTTAATGAAAATGAGTGTAAAAAATCATTGCCAGTTAAGTCAAATGCATATGATTCTTTACTACACAGTGTCGAGTTTGAAGATAGTGTACCAGAAAACATTTCCCATGCATTTACAAAGATGTGAGGCTTCTTATGACATGATCCCAACAATCAAAACAAGCTTTCGTGTTTTAGGGAAAGTATTCTGCCACTGCAAATATCCTCTTCGCAAACATTTCACATTGGCAAATTTAATAATATTTTGTCAAACAATTTTTGGCATTTTAAAGAAAGAAACTTGCTTTAGAAGACTGTGTTGTAAAATTTATAAGTGAATACCATTAACATTAAGTACAAGATGTCTGAAATGGAACTGTAATGCTACCAGATTAGAACCATCATTTACTTCCAGATATGTTACAAAAAGGGAGCTACAGAATGTCAACAAAACATGCATACAACTTTAGGTACTAATGTTGCATCATATGAGACTGTGAATGTTTGATATTGAAAGTTCAAAAACAAGGGCTATGGCTCAAACAAGGACTCAAAACAAGGATTACTAATATTTTCTCAAACAATTTTTGGCAAAGAAAGAGATTTGCTTTAGAACAGTGTGTTGTGAATTGTATTAAAATATCATTGTGTACAAGGTATCAGAAAGAGAACTATCACACTACCGGATTAGAACCACCACTTACTTCCAGATATGTAGCAAAAAGTAAGCTACAGAATGTCAACAAATCATATGTACAGCTTTAGGTACTAATGTTATATCATATGACACTGTGAAGGTTTGGTACCGAAAATTCAAAAATAAGGACTATTACACTCAAGAAGCATAGTACTAGAAAATAGTGTACCAAAAAACATTTTCTATGCATTACAAAGATGTGAGACTTCTTACGACATGAAATGTCTTTCCCAACAATCAAAACAAGCTTTCGTGTTTTTAATGAAAGTATCCTACCACTGCAAAAATCTTCTTCGCAAACATGTCACATTGACATATTTAATCATATTTTTGTCAAACAATTTTGGTGTTTGAAAGAAACTTGCTTTAAAACACTGTGTTGTGAAATGTGTAAAAGAAATATCATTTATCATTGAGTACAAGGTGTCTGAAATGAAACTATTTCTACTATAGTTGTGTTACAAAAAGTCAGCTACAGTATGTCACCAAATCATGTGTACAACTTTAGGTACTACTGTTATGTCATATGAAACTGTGAGAGTTTTGTATTGTGAAATGTATAAAACAAATATGTTATCGAATACAAGGTGTCTGAAATGAAACTATTTCTACTACAGATTAGAATCATCTACTTAACTACTCCAAAATAGAATCATTTACTTAACTACTACTACATCTATTTTAACTACTACAGAATAGAATCATCATTTACTTCCATTTGTGTTGCAAAAAGTCAGTTACAGAATGTCACCAAATCGCGTGTAAAACTTTAGGTATTAATGTAATGTCATATGAAACTGTGAAGGTTTAGTACCGAAAATGCAAAAACAAGGATTATGACATTCAAGGAGCAGAGAACCAGAAAATATTTTTCATGCATTAAAAAGATGTGTGTTTTCTTATGACATGAAATGTCTTTCCCAACAATTAAAGTAAGCTTTCGAGTTTTAATGAAAGTATCCTGCCACTTCAAATATCCTCTTCGCGAAATTTCACATTGGCATATTTAATCATATTCCGTATATAGGATTAAAGAAAGATTTGAAATTCGAATCATATTTTGTATATATGATTAAAGATTATGCATTTTAAAGAAAGAAACGTGCTTTAGAACACTGTATTGCAAAATGTATTTGAAAAAGAGAGACTTGCTTTAGAACGGTGTGCTCTTAAATTTATAAAAAATACCATTAAGTACAAGGTGTGTGAAATGGAACTATCACACTACCAGATTAGAACTATAATTTTCTTTTCTTCCAGTTCTTTTGCAAAAAGTCAGCTACAAAATTTCGCCAAATCATGTGTACAACTTTATGTGCTAATGTTATATCAAATGACACTGAAGGTTTGGTACCTAAAGTTCAAAAACAAGGCTTATGATACTGAAGAAGCAGATCACTCTGGCCAACCTACTGATGTTGATGAGGCCCACCTACGAGAACTTGTTGAATATCAATATGTAACCACTCAAGGGCTTGCGTATGGTCTCGAGAGAGTGAAAGCTGAAGAGTTAGACATTAGTGCCATGTCCATTAGTTGCGCTGAGTATCTCGTAGATTTGACGCACAAGTTCAATTACTACTGGGTACTGCATGAGATTACTTAATCACACCTGCAGCCACATCTTGCTGGTGCTATCTTCCATTCTGCGCAGGATGTCCAAAATGTAGTTGATCTGCTTTTGAACTCGTGGCCACCAAGTTTATGTGTCGATGATTTTGAAAAACTACCAAAATGTTGACAGAAAATCATAGATTTGTCTGGTGATTTGTACCCGTGCTATATATACTACCTTCATGTTGTTGTTTTTTTTCTAGTTTTATGAAGAACGTTTTTGGTGGAAAACTTTCTTTACAACCAGATAAAATAACTGACTATTTTTTAAATGAATTTATGTAGTTTTCATACATAACTTTTATGTAATTTTACATTTATTTTTCATTTTACTTCTATTTTAATTTTTTATCATAATTTTCCTTTTATGAAGTAGACTTATAGCGAGATATTTAATCTCAATGTCGTGTTTACCAATAGTGACTACCTGAATGATTAGTTGATAAATTTGCTTATCTAAGTTAATTCACATGCTTTGGTTACTTTCTTTACATCCCAAAAGTAATTCTATGTATTGAAGCAATGTCTGGGTTAAGCATTGAGACATAGTAAAAACTGATACATGCTTCAGAAGAAAGAACAATTTATCGGCCACACTATGATGCAAACATCGATGAGCGAGCGACATATTTCCTTCAATGTTGTTTAACTGATGCATATGCCTGATGTAATTTAATTGATATAACTAAGTGAACTTACACATACCTGACCCTGAAGGAAAACAAATCTGTGTATAATGCTGGAATACAAATAGCGAAAGAGTAAGTAAGATATTCTGTTCAGTGTTATTTAACTGCTGCATATGTTTTTAATTTTGATTCCATATAACTAGTTTTTTAATTATAAGAGAAAGAAAAATAATTCAATATTGAACACATATTTTGAGTATAACAAAAGTATTTTAAGAAACAACCTGTTAAAAATACATTAGTCATTAAAAATATTTAATTTGTGTACAGGCTGAATTGAAACTAACATGTGGTGGTGTATTTAATTATGGCAAAGCACACTAGGGCTATCTCTGCGTAATAGGTGTGATGCCTTCGTGGAGGACTTTCTCAGGGAAACTGGCTCGTATACACACTAAGGTGTAGGGCAAGTTTATTATTGTGCGTATATGTGTAAGAAAATGTATTTTAATTGTTCCATTTTTATTGTATGGAAGGAAGAATAGGATGCCAATATCGAAGATTATTTACCATAGCAAATAATCACGGTCAGGATAAATGTTATATAGAAATCTTGGGAGTGTAAGGGATTATAAGAGTACTTTTAGATTATACTGAAAATATATGCACTTCTGCTAAAATCTGAAGTGAATCAGTATGAAGTGACTTTAAAAATAATGTGATAAGTATACTATTTAAAAGTATAAATGACGAATATTAAGAAATTTGTAGAATTTTATGGTATTTAAATATGAATTTGTTATGTCAAATCTTTTTATATATATTTTTGCTTGAGATATGTAAATTAAACTGAAAATCACGATCATATATTTCTCATGGAATGTCAAAGTTCATTTGTATTAAAAAAAAAAATGCATGAGCAATGAAATTAAATAGAATAATACTTTTTGATTATGTTTTTACCATGGTCTTAGGAATTATGCCATCATGTGTTCTGTTCAACAAAATTTCTTTAGTGCAAACAATACTACGAAAAATATTGAAAAATAGCTTGTTTTACAATATTTATTTCCCTCAATTAACTTAATATCGTTTTTCATTTCCTAATGCTTCCTTTATGATAAGAATTTAATGTTTACAATTATTTTCAGCATTCGTACGAATTCTGTGCATAAAATAAACATTGCTTTAACAAAATACTTTATCGGAAAGTATATACCCGGTATTTCCGGTGTATCTACCACATTTAAAATGATTATTTTGCTTTAGTTTACATTACTTCCATTACGAAAATCATGTAGCAGACGCGTCGGCCGATGCGTCTTGTCTCCCGGGTGACGTCACTACCAGCAACCAATGGCACGCTTTTTCCGTTCCTGGCCTAACCTTAGTATATTAAAGAACCTTGACAGCAACCGCATCATTCGTATTCGCATAGAAACCGCATCATTTGTACTCGAATAAACCGCATCATACGACAGATGCGAGTAACGAAATGAATTTGTGAGTACCGAATCGGTACTTCGAGTCAGCCGATGTACCCGTTACTCGGTAACGAATACATGCGATTTGCTCCAGCTCTATTGTTCATAAAGGCAATCTCACGTGTCAACCTTTCAATCCTAGCTCCTGAAAAGCAACGAAAATCAACTTCGTAATCAGGTAAATTCGCAGACAAAATATTCTTGTAAATATTTAATCATAGAATCCCCGATTATGAGTATTTTCATCTTTTCAGATTGGTTAGACAAACACATAACTAAAATAAGATAATTAAAACACAAAATATCAGCGCTAATACTACGTACCTTGCTTCCCCCACAGCAGCACGTGCAAGCAAAATGGCGAAAACGTGTATTGCTTACTTCGAAAAATTACATTTGGCTTCATTTTTCAATTTTGGCGCAAATTACGGTAACCTCTTAGTGTTGCCATCTGTCACGTGAGACCCGCTAACTTCCGTAAACTCTCAGCGTTTGTCGTCGCATATATCTGCAAACCTCGAATTGAATGAGGCCTAAAACCTTTGTAAGTAACGTTTAACTGGTTAAACATGATATTAAGTATAATTAAATTAATGTTGGCAAAATAGCATTAAAGTAAGCATATGTAAATAAAAATTAGCATAAAAATAAAGTGTGATTAAGTAAAATGTGAAGCACTTTAGTGTAATTATTATTAAAATAAATTTCTAATTAATTTTACTATTGCGGAAGAGTTAAAAAAAAGCATTTCCACCAAGAACCCGGTGAATGTAAATACTGCCAACAAATGCTGGTAATAAATCAAATCTGGTAACCGAACGGATTCGGATGTTCGGAGGTACTTGATACAACCTACGTTGTTTTTAGTTATTTACATTGCTGTTCATAATTTTGGATGTTGTAACGTCATACACATTGTTCGCTTTTTCATGTGTAATTTATTCTTCACTTAGGCACTATTATTTTATCTGATTTATACGCTATCTTCTCGTAATTTTTTAATTATGAATAGCTGGAATTGTTTTCGTTCAGTAAAGGAAGTTGTCGGAGACAGATGCTTGTCTTCAGAGTGATAAAAATCGAGATTAGTCGTGGGTTAAAGAAATGACATAGTCCAGGTCGAACAAATAAAAATATATTGGGAATATCAGGTTACATGGGAACAAGCAACCACAGCTATGCGCACCAGACAGGGATAGAATGACAACAAAACTGTTGTTGCCAATTCTCATAAAGTAAATATTGGGACTGGCACATTTACATACATTTTTAACACAGAGGAACGTCTCGGAAGGATTATTACCTTCATCGAAAGCATGTTCACATCAAACAGAGCAGCTCACGGGAGAATCTAATATCGCTCATTAAGAAGGACGTAGCAAAGGGAACAATTGTTATGACTGATTCATAGACATAGGTGTTATGTACATCAGACTCGTTAATCATTCCACAGATTTCGTTAATCCCAGGACTAAAGAGAAGGGCTAGCTCATAGAGCGTTTCCCCCTGAAACAGGCAGTGAGGAGTGATGACGTAGCAATGATGGCACTGAGCGCGGAGATGCAATTGACAACATAGAAATTAGCGTTTTAAATTTGAAGAATCAGCGTTTAAAATGAAGCTGTTGTGAAAGATAGCTATAATTTGGAAGAGACAATGTTACTGCAGTATGCATTTTTACACTGAACATTAAAAAATTTAATAGTACTTACTCAATTTTAAAATAATAGATAAAATGCGCTACTCTTAGCATAAAGTTCTTTTTTTTTAATGTAGGTTTTTTTTTTTTTTTTTTTTTTTCTTTAAATGCCTGTTTGTTTCTAATCATTTCTTTATCTGCATGTTAACTAAGAGAACTGTACTACTGCTAAGATAATTATAATAACAGCTATTTAAAATTAATCAAAAAAATAACCTTAAATTGGCATAGTTTTAAACGTGTATGGTTATATATGGCAAAATTTCTGCTAATCTAAGTTTGAGTTTCAGCCTAATTGTAAATTTTACATTAGCATATTTTTATCCCGATTCATTATAATAACATATATTTTTTAAAAATAATTTTGTAACTTAGGCTTACAATCAATATTTCATTTAAATAAATACATGTAAGATTGTTATCTTAATTTAGACAAAAAATTTAAATTATACAGTACCCTACAACCTAAAGATAATTATTTAATTTTTCAAAAGTGGGGGTTAAGGGGGCAGGTCTTCTTATGCCAATTACTTATGTTATAGTTTATAATGTATACAATAATACAATAATGTTATACTTTATATATATTTTATCTAGAATATGCTAAAGCTAGTACAAAATCGAATCAATAATAACAGAGGATACAATAAAAATATAACTGTAACAATAACTTAACAGAATTAGTTCTCATTTGAAATATGCTTTACGCTATTAACTTCTAAAATGTCAATCTAGAAATATTTCAAATCAAAACATTATATATACTTACTTTTTTTCTCTCGTTTCCCTTGACCATTAAATAATTTGGTTTTAGTTTGTGACACAATTTAATTCTCTTTAATAATATAAACATTTAAAACAGTTCCATCTTCTAAAACAAATCCTTTATCTAAAAAGTGGTTTCTCAGTAATTTGAGCCCACCAGAGGCCGAGCGGTAAAGTCGCTGAACACTGGTAGTTCGGTCCGAGGTTCGAATCCCGCGAACGGGCTGGCTGCATGGGCGTTTTCGTGGTTTCCCCATGTGTAACGTGTATACGAGCCAGTTTCCCTTAGAAAGTCCTCCACGAAGGCATCCCTCCTCTTAAATCAGACACTATTGCTTTCACTTCTACTCTAGATGATTGAATATGTCTTATGAGTGAAAAAAGAAGTTTTTTCTTCATTGGAGTGTTAAAATCAAAAAACATTGGTTGTTTCCACTGCGAAATGAGACCTCTGATTAAAACAAACTGCACTTTTTGAAAAGGACCGATTTTGGTCCAGTTTAGAGTCATAGCAGAGTTTAGAACTATGTGCGTTTCGTCGAAACTGAGAACGCATATTTTTTCTACAGAATTCAAATATTGGCATCTTTCCTTCATTACAGCAAGAACATCACTCTGAATTCCTGGACTACATAAAAATTTAGCGCACCATCTCTTTAATGTGCTAGTGCTAGGTAAAGGAATTCCCATTTTTTCTTTCCAAAAATCGTAGCTTTTGGATGACAGAGCTCTTATGACAATGCAACGTGAACTAGTCCACCGGATTTTTTCCTTCTTTTCTAGCAATGCGTTAATCTGCGTCTTTGTAAAATATGCTTTAGAAGTTTTTTTCCAAATTCTCCGATCTGTTTCTGTTTTTTTTCCTAAATTTCGCTGTTTGGAATTTTAATTTCTGAATTTCCGATACAAATTTCTTTCTAAATGTCGTCCACCTTCTTTGTCGCTGAGCAAACATTCTAAAATCTTTCTTTCTTTCTCTATTTTTCAATATTTTATTACAATTTTCTAAGGATATTATTTTGTTCTTCAAATTATCAATACATTCTTGTTTTATCTTTACACTTAGGGCACTCAGGGATATTGTCACATAGGGCATTGTCACTTGTAAGTTTTATTTCAAAATCATTCACATTTGATTTATTATTGTCAGCTTCAATTTCGTTCTCGGCCTCAAAATAAATTTTCTTTGGGCTTAATTCATGTAGTCTTTCAAAAGCACTCTGCATTAGTTTTTTCAAATGTCTCCGATTTCTTGGTGTTATTTTGTTTACTGCACACGATAAATTTACTTTCGGCACAGCATTGCATTTCAACAGTTTCTTTTGCGGCAATCCAAGCAAGCGATTTCTCATGTCATCTTCATAATCACTGCACAGAAAATGTTCGCTGCAAATTCTTGCTTTTTTCACATTAATAGAATCCTGTCTTCGACATTTATGTATCCATTCTTTCGTCAAAAGCAAATTGTCCTTGGGCAAAGCATGAAATACAATATCTCTCTCTTCCTTTCGTATTTCTATAAGTGTTACGGCACGTTGCTACAGCAGCACAAGAAGCCATATTTCATAAAGGATACTTTAAATATAGAATTTAAAAGGAAAAACTGACTAAAACTATATATACACAAATTATTTTAAATATTTGCATTATTAGAAAACAAATATGTATGATTAAAATTAATTTGGGATATGCGATCTCCAGAAAATCGTCTCGCAACTGAATGAAACTACAGTTTTAAAGGCGCGAAATCAGAGCAGGTGCAACAGAGATACGTCAGATTACTTCCGGTTCCCCCCCCCTCTATGAGACTCGCGTCGGCGAGGAGTCGAACAAAGGAATGACCTAGCCCTTCTATTTATCCCTGGTTAATCCGGCAACTGGTGCATATACTCAGTCTAAAGAAACAAAAAGGTGGCCTCTAAAATAAAATTTTAAAAAATTTGAAAGCTTTCAGTTTTCACATTGCGCTCAAAGGAGCGTTTTTTTTTTTACGTTTTGTGTGTGACTTTTATTTATTAAATATATCATGTTTTTGCGCTTAAACCATAAAATTCAGTTCAACAGCAAAAACGCTAAAATGAGCATATATTTAGAATTTCCGATACACAGTCTCGCGCCCTGGAGATAAAAATGTTTATTTTTTCGTACATTGTTGCCACTGCTCTCTTTGAAATCAGTGAGTTTGTTAGACAAAAATTCGTTAAAATTTTACAAAATATGAAATAGATAAGAAAACAAATTTCAAATTTGGCCTTCCAGATGCTCATATTCGGGTGGAAACTTACATTATTAAAAATTTGATGGCTCTAGGTTTTATCACAATGCGAGAAACAGACATATATTTATGCACATTCTTTATTATTTAATTTCTTTAAATACCATACAGATTTCCTGCATTTGGTGGCAACAATTTAAAAGTGATTCAACGCAAAATTAATAGTCCTTCTGGGCAAATTGCCCTTTGGACCGAAAAGTGGTTTTTTACAAGGAAAATCCATCTGATCACGTTATACGAATACCTGTTTTGTTGTTTGACTTCTGAATTAGTATTTGTTGGGCATGTTATCGTGTCTTACCTATTTCGGCGTTAAGTTAAACACAACAACAAGACCCATTCATGGAAATTTTAAATGCAGCTAAATATCCTTTTGGAGTAATATGTCTCCGGCAATATATTTTTAATGGCATAGGTTTTTGAAAAAAGGGGAGCTCTTTCTGAAGGCTATAAAACAGAGTCATAGCTAGGGTTTTCAGCGCCCAGGGACAACTGAAGATTTCGCGTCCCCTACTGCTTGCCAAGGATGGAAAACATTTAATTCTAAAATGTCGTAACATCATTTTGGCGCCCCTTGGATTCTGCGCCCGGGGACAGATGCCCCCCTCTAGCTACGCCCTTGCCATAAAAATCTGATAAATGAAGTATTGCTAGTTGTAAGTGGTTTTCTTCCGAAAATGATCCGTTGGCCGCCGGTGCGTATTTATTCGCCAAGCTCGCCAACGGCTAATCGGCCGTGATTTTAGCGGTGTATAGTCAAGATATT